TATACAACAGCCTTTGAGTGTACGCAGTGTGAACAACTCATTTGGTGATACTCCTATAGAGAATTGATGAGTAGTATGGCTGGATCTGATTTGTTATGAAGCCACAATACAAGTATATATAAACTTAGTAGAAATATGTGGTTTTGGCCAACTAGGATTTTGGTTTTATTATATATAATCAAGTTTAATTTAAAACCATTTGCTTTTGAGAATATGTGAACATGCTTAGAGCATCTTGAAGGTTATATGTTTAATTAGATTGCTAACTAATGTCACGCTGAGAAATGGATGGGAGTTGAGCCGTCAGGATTTTCAGTGGCATCAGAATTTTCAGCAGCATCAGGATTCACTGCATTAGAATTTTCAGCTATCAGCTGTGTGCAAGGAGAGTGATAGTGTTGTCACAGGTTTCCTGGCACTGTTGCTTAGAGACAGTCATAGTGTCTGTTCCATGTGAATGTTGCCCTAAAGCTTTCCCTGACTTTTGCACCTGAGCAGTGTTAAATCTGCTGTATTTTTGGGGTGTCTGTTTTGCAGAAAACAAGAAAAATAGAAATTGATACTTGAAATTTTATGCATGCCTATTGAAAATCATCAATATCTGTTTTGTACTAAATGCATGAGCTACATACTAAGGATGAGTTAAGTTAAAGCCCTGATCTGCAAAGCACTCAGGAGTTCTCCTGTACCTTGGCATTTCAGGCCTACAGTTGCATACAGCTATGAGGTACACAACATTTCACAGCCTTTCACAAAGAGGGAGCCGAGCCTTCTCCCAGGGCTTTTCCTGTCCCGTCCCTCTAGTATAGTTAAATCTGCAAACAAATAAATAGGTTGGTACTTCTGGAGGTAAGTCTTTCCCGACGTAATAATAGTATCAATCTGTGACTTTCCTAAAGACTTAGGAGCTTAGAAAGACTTGAAATCTTGGTGTGTTTTATCGTTAAAATTCCTTATTGCTACCTCTGTCAGCTCATAGAGGAGCCTCCTAATGGCAGGTCATAGGTCCATGGCTGATACACCCCATGCTACCAAGAGCACTGACTTTTTTTCTCCCCTCTGCAATGTGCAGTGCTATGTATGTTGTAGAAAACTTTGGATTCTGTTCCACCAGAGAATATTAGCACATAGAAAAAACTACAGCACCAACACACACTGACTTTTCCCCCTGGACTTTAGTTCTTGTGTCACAGGAGCTGGTCTACTTTTTGAAAGGTAAACTAACTTGCTAAAAAAAGCTTTGAAGCCTTCAGTGAATATCTCTTTAGAGAAGTTATTCCCTCACTTAAACTCACAGAACTGTGTTGCCACCTAGAAGCTAGCTGGCTATACAAGTTCTTAGAGAAATCCTGGAGGTCTCACTTTCCCCACCAGGTCCCTCCCTGCTGTTATGTGTGGGGCTTGGGCATGGGACTAAGAGCTGCATGTACATTTAGAGAGAGTGCAAAAACCAAATGGCTTTGGGAAATTAGTTCAAATGGGGCCTATACATTTGGGATTTTTAAGGTTGAGGGTAGGAAATGTGCAGGCTAAGGTCCAAATTCCAAATGAGACATACATATAGGTTGTGACATTGATAAATTCAGAGTCTTGTTTGGCAGAAAATAATATACCCTAACATGAAGGAACAAGCATACATATTTTATTGTGGGGTTCCTTAAAAATAGTTGCTGCTAAAACAGGATTTCCAGTTCAAACAAAGAATCTTCTCTTTAGTCAGTCCTGTGTTAATTTAGTCATTCCAAATTTCATCAAATAGGGGCTATATCTCCAAGAATTCCTCTAACAAAGGGATCCCCCAAAATCTGGAAGATTATCCAATTATGATTTAAAGAAACATACAGCAAAGATGACTGACTAAAGAAAGAAGTCTCTGAGGAAAAGAGCAGGAAAGAGCATGAGAGCGCTTCGTTTTTTTTCTTATAAGTAAAGTGAGGAGAATTATATCTGCTCTGAAGTTTTGTGGTAAGTGGAGTCAAGGTACCTGGGTACCTGGCGTTGGGTGAGGACCTGCCTGCTCTCCTTCCTTCCTTCTTTTCTACCACTTCTCTCTCTTTTGCTATGTGCAGACCCCATGCCTGTATGAAAAACTTACTGATTCTTAAGGGTTTTTTTCATATTTACATGTGTTAACAAAAAAGGGTCTCTTGATTTAGAGGCTCTGTTTGGGATGTACAGGCAGAGAATAAAGATTGATGTTAATTCTGGGCTGACTCAGGGGATTGGGTGGAGGCTTCTCCCGGGAAGAAAAGGGAGATGCCAGAGAACCTTCACCTTGGAAATCCCACCCAGAGTTGGATCATCGAGAGCTAACAGCTCCGCATAGGGTCTTCTAGATACTGGGAGTTGTCCACAGAAGGAGGCTGTATTTTCACGCCTGGAAGGAGAATTGCATGATGGTTCATCCCCATCCCATGCCCATCAAAAGTACTGTGGTCTCTGAGCTGGCACAGGAGTGTGCCCAATTAGTTCACGGGCATTTGAGATTGAAGGATGATCAAGCCCATCTTCTTGGTGTTAGCTTGACGGTTGGACTTGATGATCTTCAAGGTCCTTTCCAACCTAGACAATTCTATGATTCTATGACTCTTTATCACTAACAGCTCTTGCCTGATTCGGTTCACCCTTAGGCATGGTTGAGCTAACCTTGCTGTTTAACTCTTGCAGCTTTAGATCTAACCTTTTCCGTCAGCTAGCATGGCTGAGAGGCAGTGGATTGCCTGGACGCAAGCTGGCAGCTCTGTGTTGCATGCTTTAGCAGCTTACAACACCAACTTCCCATGTCATATCATTTGCTCCTTTACCAGTCCTGTCTGTTGTATCAAAAGCTCCTGTCAGCCCTGTTTTATGTTCCCAAGTCTCCCTGGCTTTACTAGGTTCAACCTGAGGTCTTCTTTAGGGAAAGTCACGCCACCCTAGAGCCTCATTATTCACTCCATTATCAACCAGGATTCTGCTGTTTACAGTGTTACATTATAAAAATGTTTTAAGACCATTTTAGGAGGTCTCTTTCCCCATCTGCTTTTTCCTCTGTCCTCCTCCTAGATACATTTTGGCACCCAAACCTTCTCCTTCATTTTCCTTGCACAGATAGAGAGAAGTGGGAGATCAGGAAGATTTGTGCCTTCTGTATGGTTTAAAAGTCTTCTCCCATTGACTTAACTGGCTCTACACCCTTCCAGAGGGTAAAAATGTCAGGATTTCTCCTTGTTGCTGGTGTCATTCTGGTATTAGAGCCCAGTGGAGTCCTAGGCTACTGCTGGAGCTCCAGGACTGTAGCAATGTATGTAGAAAGCAACTGTGGGTTTGAGTTGCAGCATTTACATCTGCACGTGGACTGCATATGTAAATGATGACTTACAAACCAAGGGATCCCAAAGGATCATTCTCTGCATGTTTGCGAAGTTTTTAAGCATGGCTGGCCATCCCTTCAGCTGCACTGATATGACAGCTTGCAGAGACTGACAAAAAAACCTCAGGTTAAACCAATGTCCCCCAAAAAACCTTTTATGCTGGGTTATTTCATCAATCCACCTTACAGTGTGGTCCTATGAGTGGGAAGGAAGGAGAAACGTGCCAAACTGTGGCAGCCAGATGACCAGCAAGCAGCCAGAAGAGGGGAGAGTCTGAAGGTGAGGAGCGCCTCGGCCTGGCTGTGCTGCCAAAGGCCCTCTGAGGCTCTGCGTCTCTGGTAAAGCTGTCTCCAGGTCTCTCCTTGATGATGTGAAGCACAAATAGACCAGGACTGAATGGGAGGAGGGACGCTCTGGAGTTCCGAAAGTTTGCAGGAAGGCAGAGGAGAGGCAGCCAAGTGATACATTAGCTATGCATGTCTTCTCTGGCCAGGGAGGGGGCAGTTCCCCGCGGCTCTGCTTCCAAATCTATCAATGCCAGTGGCAGCCTGGAGGCAGCCTGGCTGTAGTGAGCAAGTGTGACTCACTGCTACACCACACAGCAGAATTATTTGGGGTGGGTGGGCAGTATTTGTCACACTGTCGATGAGAATTTGGCTAAGTTAAGCAAGCACATAGGTTGTCTGGGCTGTTGGGTCAGCCTTGACTATACACACAGAGGTCTATGACTTAAACTTACTGGAACAAGATGAATGTGGCAAGGGCAAAAGCATTACACACACAGAAGACAGGCAAGACACTGCACCAGTGCTAAATAGTGAAATTTATTGCAGTAGATGCCGCATCAAAAGCTGAATGATTCTTAGACTTCATTCACAGCCTGCCTAATAAGACCTATGATGAGTATTACAGTCTGGGACTGAGGGTTTAAAAGTGCTCCCTTGACATGTGAGCTACTTAAAGGAACACTCAAGTGATAAATTTGTTTTCCAGTGCTTAAGGGAGATTGAGTGTTCCCCTGCTCACGCAAGGAGTCCCTGATCTTACTGCAGATGCAAAACAGACCCCGCTTTGCTGTGATTCTGAAACAAGGGAGGGATGAAATCTCAGTCTTGTAGCATGGAGTCTCTCTGAGTTAATAATAAAGTGCTAGTAATGAAGATTTGTCTTTCTCCAGGAAGGAAAAAAACAGTGAGAGGCAGGAGGAGAAAGGTATACTGGTGGATGGGAGGAATTTTCTAAATTTACAAAAGGAGTCAGCTACACAACTCCCACTAATCATACTAGGCTAAATACAAGGCAGCCTTGGAGGTTGTGGCCTATATAGGGTTAGGCAAAAACAAATTCAAATGGTATACTGATGACTTTTTGCCCCACAAAAACCTTTTAATTTCTGATGGTAGGGGACGCTACCTAAGTGTGGAAGAAAAATAGAATATACTAATTTGAATGCAAATGGATTTTTTTAGATGAAAGGTAATGCATAAAAAGTAGAATGGCAATGCTGTAAATATTCTGCCTATGGTACGTTTACTTACCATTAATTACTGACATCTTGGGTAGTTGTTATAAGGAAATACATGTTGGGTATTTTTTTTTCAATTAAGCAATGCTTTTACACTTTCAAATCAACTTCTGTTCTTTCAGTGCTATTGGAAATTTGAAAATTGCTGAAGTTGATCCAGGTGGTTATTTTGTAAAGATCCTGAACTGTGCCCCTGAAAAAGAGGAAAGCATTGGGGATTATCTCTTGAAGCAGGACATCCAAGGTCAACCAGTAGCTGTATTTCGGTTCCCCCCCGAGACAAGGATGGGGCCCAACTCCAGCGTGACAGTGAGTGTGGGGGTTTTGAGTGACTTTTCTCAGCTGGCAGACTAGGATACATGCTTAGCCTAATGGTATAGAGTCAAACTTAAGCCTGTATTTTTAGAAAGGTTAACACTCATAAATAATGACGAATTCAAAAGAAGCAGCTAATATCCATCATGGGTACAAACCTGGCGTTCGCATGACTCATCCAGCATTTCATGTTGCCCAGCAATGGGAAGCTATCCTGGAAGGTCCTTGTTTGATACATTCCTTTTTCCAACCATTGCTCCCATGAAAAACTGCCCATGCTGTCAGAATATTGGGCTGTGCCAGTGTTTGCCAACAGAGGGTGTGAACTTTGGATCAGAAACCCACAAATAATAGAACTGGAAAGGAAATGAGTTTTATGTGTTGCTACTGAAGTACTTAATATGGTTTTGTGTATAATCTGAGGTAGCATTATAGTAGGGTCTTAACTGAAAATAAAAAGAAAAAATGATGTTGCTTTCCAGACTGTGGCCTCTATTTGAGGACAGTTGTTATCCAGCAGAGAAAGCCATGAACCATTGTTCTGGCAATGGGGCTCTGTTCCTGGCTTTGCCTTGAATGACTTTACACAAAATGATGACACTCTGTGCCTTAGTTTCCTATTCTGTAAAAGGAAAATAATGATGTGGTCTCCTTTAATGTTGTGCCAAAACTATACATTAAAAATTCAGTGCATGGGCTGCTGCTCTTCAAAAATTACTTCCCCTCCAGCTAGTTTAGATGTATCTTTTTGCCAGTTTGAGTAAGAGTTAGAGAGGTAGGTAGGATCTAAGATGCAAAGAGTCAGATGACTTCATCATACCCCAGAAAAGCTTTAAATAGGAAACAACAAATATATGCATCTGATATCCATGGTAATGAAAAAGGCTTGAACGTGTGAAGTAAATGTGACCAAGGCTCAGTTGTAGGCGTAGCTGAGGAATGTCAGCTGGTGTCTGCACACAGCCTCCAGCAACCTCTGAGATGTGTCCACACTCAGAGAGGGCACAGCCTTTGCTGTACTGGGTAAAGATGATGGCTGCTTGGTTGGCTGCAAGACACCTTGCAGATCTCTCCGGAAATGGTTTCCTCTTAGTTGGCTTTGACGTGCCAACCATTCCCACCCACCCCAAAAGGTAGTCCTTTCTGAAGTGCTCTGATCAGTCTTTGACAAAGTTGCTGTTCCCATTATCATTAAAGGGCTCTTGGGTGAACAACTGACTGAGGTAGAAGATCCACCACAGCTTCTGTTTCAGTATACGCAAGCAGAAAATTTCTGATGGTTTATTAATTTCAAAGGGTTGTATTCAGGCTGCCAACTCCTGCATCTAAAATTCGTGGACAATAGGGTCTGTGTCAGACAGCCAGCTAGGCAGGACTTCCAGGCCCCAGCCCCCTGTGAGAGCAACAGAGACAAAATGCTCAAGTTAGATGCCAGTATAAGATGGTTGGAAGAGGGCCTGAAGTCTCTTTTACCACCAGTGCTTGTTTATTTTTTGGGGAATGAAAATTGAGGCCTCACAGACTAAAAGGAGGCAAAGTCCATTTTCATCACCAAGCTCAGTGCAAGTCAATGCAGCCCTGCGTGAGCCTTCTTAGGAGAAAGCTGGAAATGCAAGCTGGTGGGGGCCCAAAAGAGCCATAGTCACTGCTATCTTAGGAGGTACGTGTGAAAAAGCCACAAATACACTTTGGCAGAGTGCTGCATGGTTAGCACTTTTAGAAGACAGCGCTTTACTTTTTTTCAAGATACTTCTCCTTTAAAATTGAATGAGAATTGTTTTGACTCCCAGGAAATGGCTGAAGACATTTTCTTGCAGACGGCAAATGCCAGATGTTGTAGGAGCACCATTTGCAAAAGCCTGTTGTGGTTGTATTATGTAAGAAAAATGTTTTCATAGTGGGTCCTTTTGCTACTGTGTTAGTCATAAAGTTCACAGATAAGTGTGTTCGCTTTATAAAGCACAATGATGTTAAATCTTTTGTGTAAGAATAAAAGTACAAAAAAAATCTAGTCCCCAGCAGAGGCAGCTTCTCCTTCAACAGAGGGAATCCAGAATCAAGCAGAGACTGGAATTTTAAGGCTGATATCACATATCTCTTCCAATGCCTCAGGTAATTCAGAAAATAAAAGAAACGGCCTATTTTTAATCTTACTCTCAGCAAGACAGACTAAAAAACCCAGGATTTACTATCACACTTTGAAAAATGAGCCTTTGCTAATCTCTGTTAATCCACAGGAGAGGTACTTGAAAATAATCACTATAACTAAGCTGCGAGTCTTGAAATACAGTTCTTTCAGCTTTGATTTCACAGATCAAATGGTGACCAGTGTTACAAAAGTCAAAAAGGAAGAGGAAAACCTAATGTTTTTACTGAGTTCTTATAGTATATTGCATAAATATGCAGGAGCCATTTTGTCTTTAATGACTGCTTGATCTTTGCAGGTTTGGGCAGCAGATGCTAAAGTTCTTCACAGACCTCCCTCAGATTTTCTTTGGAAGGACCTGGAGAGATTTAGGACAAGCCGTGACTGTGCTATCATTCTCTGTGAGCCTAGTGGTCAAGTGAGTGCCCTGAGCTAAATCACCACGTATTTTTTTACCCAGACAGCTCTGTCACTGGACATCCTTCAAAGTTTCAGGATTATATTGTTAAACTCCTTGTAGAGTCAAGCACAAGCCATCCAAACATAGCAAAGCTATGATATCTCTCTGTTAACCTTGCTTCAGTGTGGGTGCTAATTATTAGGATCTGAAGGACTGAAGAAAACCAGTAGGTTGATACACCAGTTGTTGACTGAAAGGTTAACATCACAGCGATTGAAGCAGGGGCTCCACAAGTGTTAATTGCCAGCCCACCGTCCTCTTCCACTGTGTTTCAGCCATGAAAGATCCAGCCATGCCTAGGGCTATTCCACCTATGCTTGCCCATTAGTAACTGTCATCAGCTTGGCCGTTATGTTGAATATTTTTAGGCAAACTTCTGTTAACTTGGGGATGAGAAAGAGCTCAAGATCATTTTTTCACCCTATAGTTGTCCAGTGGCAGCTATGGGTTTGGTCATTTTTAGCTAGGCAAACTAGACAAACTAGTGACAATATGGAAAAGACCTGTGATTTTCATAAACACTGTAAGCTTCCCCAAGGTAGCATAATTTACACCTTACAAACTGTTAAGTAAATGTTGACTTCTGGTCTCACCTTTTCACATTTACTCCTCTTCTAGCTCAGTTTGGCCATACCTGCTATTACATCACTGCCAGGGAATCAGAGGCTGAAAGGGAACTTGAGATGTGATTTCCTCTGCCAGGATTGCTCCTGGCTGTGGCTTGCCTAGGTAGTTCTGGAAGACCTTCAGTAACGGAGACTCCACCATGTCCCCAGGCAATCTCCTTTCGTGCCTCACTCTCTGTATGCTTAGAAAAGCTTTCCTAGTGCCTAAAACAAACTTCTAGCTCAGTTTTAGCCCTTTCCTCCTTCTTCTATCCACTGTGGACATGGATAACAGATTGCTTTTTCTTCCTTCAGCAACCTTTAACATACTTGCAGAATTGTCACGTCCTCTTTTCTCTCCTTCTTTGTCTGGTTTACTTAATTGCAGCAGTGGAATTTCAAGGCTCTTAGATGATGACTCTACCCTAAATATATTTAAAGACTGGAAATGGATTTTAAAGACCAAAGAAAAAAGCTGTAATGAGGTGGTTCTGATTAGTAATTATCTTTCAAACGATAAATAACTCAGATATACATGGGAGCTCCTACCCTTTCAGCCCTTCCTGGTTTGTCTACAACAAACAATTATCTTGATGAAAAAACCTAGAATATAAGTAAGCAGTGATATGTTGGGTTGGTTTTTTTTTTTCAGGCTGTGGCTTGGTATACTCCTCTCTACTGGAACAGAAGGCAAGAATGTGCGGCGAAAGAGGAAAGTGAAAATTTTGAGAACATTGTCATACCAACTTTCTCAACAACAAAGCAAAAAGAGGGATGGGAAAATGAACAGGAGTTTACAATGACTGATACAGAGTGGAAGAGGGCTCACTCATGGCAAACAAGAAACAAAAGACAAAGCTTCATTCGAAGGTATCTGATGTTCATTGTGTGTGCTCTGTAACTGTGGCATTGTGCCAAACTGCCTCTGTAAGTGAATGCTTTTAAATTAGCATCTTGGTAAGCAATTTTTGAAAAGCTTTGGAATTTTTAAGAATTAACCTTAACCTTGAAACAGGAATCCAGCCCAAAACTCCTGATAGGAGTGTGTTCATTGTCAGTCAAGACTAAGTGGAAAAACCCAAGTAAAATTCTTAAAATGCAACTTTATTATTACAAATTATCCTTTTAGCCCCAAGTGTTTGGATGGCACCATTTGGAGAACACAACTTCAAAAGCTTTCAGCCAGAAATGTTGATGTTCGCAGAAATATTTACCTTCTACTTGAGAAGGGTGGGCCTGAACTTGGTCTTCTCTCAGTCCACTGCACTTTGAACTCAGCTAGTTCTAAATTGCTTCGGAACTGTCTTCTAGCCTTTGTATCAAACTTAAAATTGGCAGCACTATGAAAAAGTATGGTTTGTTGGTCTAGCTGTGGAGAGTTTAGTTTGGCCACCCAAATCTCAGTCAGGAACCCCTGAGCTGTGCCACTGACTGTTTTGAATAAGGAACGCAATATTGATGGGGTTTTTTCCTAAGTCCCCTCTAGAATATTGGTTCCAGGGGCTTTTCAGCCAGGTTTACAATAGAAAAACATTTATTTCAAAAATAAGGGACTGGGAAATCTGGATATATTTTCACAAAAAAAAAGCAGGTGACACTTCTCATGTTTGGGGTAATTGCTCTTCTCTAAATTTCTTCTCCAGATTGTGGCTGGAGATGTTCAGATGATGAACAATTTTCAGCATGGGTTAAACTGGCTGTTCTTTACAAGCTTTGTTCTTAAAAATGGCTAAATCACTTTTGCTCAAACTCTCCAAAGAAACTAGGTAAGAAGCAGGGAGGAATTATGTAAAAATTCGGTGCAAAGAGTTCAAGTCTGGCAAAATTATAACCAAAGGCAAATGGTAAATTATTATGTGATATGTCAAACAATATAGAAGTTGCAGTTCTTCCACCCACAGCTAAATGCAGAATGTGTCAAATATATGTATGCTGTTTGTTAGGTATATTGCATAAATTTAATGTATGTGTGCAGTAAACACAGTAAATCTATGCAAAATACAGTAATAAATATGCTAATGCAATACAATAAATAATGCAGTAATAGATAAAAAATACAGATTTTTTTATATACATACACGCATGTGCAAAATGTGTGAAATACACACAGTAAACTTAATTGAATTTCTGTTTACAGGGAAAAAAAGACCTCTGCATCCCTTTTCCCTAATCAAAGTGCCTGGTGCCAAAGTCCAAACTCTCCCACACACCCTCACTTTTCTCTGCTTAGATCGTTAACCATGGGGAATGACGGCAGCAGTTTGTGCAGGCAGTCCCGGTGTCAGTCATCACGGCCTGACCCCGTGCCAGGTGGGTTCAACATCAGATGCAATATATGCTGAAGCGTGCACAGTGGCAACAGGGTGGATTTTCTGACACAAATAGCTTAGGACTTAAAATAGATATATATTACCACCTCTTACTTCCGTAGCAGAGATCTGCAAACTTTTTTAATTGTGTGCCCCTATCAATAAACAAATTTTTGAACACAGGCTCCCAATATATGTACATTTATTTATTTTTAAGTTATGCACATTTACTACTGCAATAATATATTATGTACATTATTAAACATACACATGAATAGAAATTTAAAAGGATGAGTTAAAGATGAAAAAATACTCTTTTAAAAGTTTTTCTAAATGTAATTTTATTTATTAATATTACAAAAATATTTTTTCCCGCAGTCCAATGGATTGTCTTGTACCCCCCCTGGAAGACCAATGCTCTATAGAACTGCATATGTTGTAAGATGTGAGGAAGCTATTGTTACTAATACTAATGCATTTAGGAAATGAAACAAAATATTAGGAATCAGTAAAAAAAGGAGACTCTTACATGGGCTGTGAATTGTTAATTAGACAGTGGTGAGAAAGCCAGTGTGTAATTCGGGAATGTCAAACCCAGAAAGCTGTTGACACACTGGAAAGAGTTCAGGGGAGGATGACAGAGTGAAAAAGCACTGGAAGAGTTTGATTCATGAAGATTAAAAAGAGATAAATGTGTGTCATCACAGCATCACAGCAACAGAGGAAACAGTCTTAGATCCAGGAAACAGAACTAGGAGGAATAGGACCAAGTGAAACACAGGAAGACTTATGTTGAATATGTAAATAAAAAGGAGTTTTAATGATCTATAGTATAGTCTTCCAGTTGTGCTTGTTGCTCCACTTGGTATTTTAAACCGCTGGCAAGTTGTAAGTGCTTGGCTTCCATTAATTTTAAGGTAAACAGGTCTTCAGCTCCTGAAGACAGCTTTGTAACACTTGTTTTTTCTCTAGTGAATATTTAAAACCAGACTGGTCAAATTATTTGAATATACTGAGGTCACCCCGTGGCTGCTGTGAATAGGTGACTGCGTGGTTGTCAGGAGTTTTTGCCCCCTTCTAGGAGTGCCAGCCTAGGAAAAAACGTTCAGCTTGAGCCAGGGAAGCATTTATGCACCTGCTTCAAATAGTAATCCTGCAGCCAGGGAGGACTGTCAGGAAGGTCTTTCTCAACTGTTAAATCCAGGAAAAGCAGATTAAAACCTGATGGAGTCAGTTGTAGTAGACCTAATTTCATGGTTTGTTTCCTGCTCTGTTTTAATCACTGGTAGCAGCAGCTACCAGGTGTCTATTTTGTGTAATGTCGGTTTGTCTAATTTGCTAAACCTTAGTTTGTCTTGTTCTGTGTCACTCTGGTCTTCTGCAGAGCTGGGTCCCCCATATCTGTTCTGCTAGTTTCCTGGACAGGGAAAAACTGGGGACAGAAAGGGAATCGGCCCCTGGGGGTGCTGGTGGCATCAGAGGTGGTGTTCACATGAGCAAATGCTGTGGACAAACAGAGCAAACCCCTTGGTGCTGCAGAACTGGCATCCACCCTGTACAGATTTCAAAGGTGATTTACTTTGTCCCAGCTCTAGGCTGGTACAACAGGCCATGAGGGGGCCCCTACCTCTGCACAGCACAGGTCCTATTTGGGTATGAAACTTCCCGGGCTGCTGTGTAGCCCACTCGTGCTCACCACTGGACTGCACAGAGTGGTTTCTGTCTGAACACCCGCTTGCAGCCAGAGTGCTTGAGGTTTGACTCCGGAGGACATCTTCTGGCTCAGTTTCATTCAAGGGGAAGCCAGCTTGTGCACTTGATAGTGCTCCATGATGTGAACCTGAGCACAGCAAGTGAGGGGCATGGCAGCTCCACTCCATGGGTACGCTCCTCTTTGGACCCAAAACGCTAGGGACACACACAGGACATCCCCCCAGTACTTCTCCCAAGCCAAAGAGAGTTTGCTGCATGCAAGTCATCTTTCCTACATTCCCATCTTTTGTCACATCCCCACAGATGGAGAATAATGCTGTTGCCACAAGCTACATTTGGTTTCAGTTTTCAAGATTTTTTCCTCGCAACTGTTAAGACTAAAAACTTTTTCAATAAAGCAAGCAATAGGAAACCAAAACAAAACACCTCTGAGACTGTAATGCAATCACGTTGTTCCAGAACCGAGGGCTGCAGGCACAGAGGGCCTACCTGCAAATTTATTTCCTCAGTGTGGGAACTCTGAAGGCAGAACTCAAACAAGGTAGTCTGTCACGCATTAAATATATTTGATTTTCTGTAGTTTTTCACATGCTACCTGCATACCCTCAGCCTCTCTTTCTCAGATCTTTGCAAAAGATAATTCAGCTCTATTTACGTATGGTTCATTTGCAGTTCTTTTCACTACTGAATTATGAAATTATTCCTCTTAATACTGCCAGGAAAGTTAATAATATCCAAGATCTCAGATTAAAAATTAAATATGGGTATAACCATTATTTTCCTCTGATAAATATTCATGTGTAGTACGTACTACTGCGGGATTTTTCCATAAATGACTCTATACAGAGAGATGTAAGCATCATTCTTATTTTATAACAACACAAAAATTACAAGTGCTTTAGGCAGATTTATACAAGTATGCCGCTAGACATTATTACTGATGGTGGTGGAGTGACTTTTCAGTTATATGATGGAATGATGATTTTGAAATGTATGGCTGCTTTCTTTTTTTCTTTTTTTCTTTTTCTTTCCTTGCTTAAAATTTCTAACTAGTAGGCTTATAACCGACATGAACAACTGGGGTCCACAGTAATATGCATAAATGCAATCTTGCTTAGGTCCTGGTCCAAGAAAACTTCCCTGTTTAGTAAGGACTTTTCAGCTTGTTCATAAATGCTTCATAGTATCAGAGACTTACAGAGGTCAGTATTGTTAACTTGTTTTTCTCTACAAACACAATTTTAATCACTATTGTCTTTAAATATGGATCGTTATTTTCCTAACGCCGCAGTACAGCAAAGTTAGGTCAATGCCTTTGAATCGAATTAATGATTGCATTTTCCTCTTAGATATTTAGTTTTGCTTTTCAACTTCAGTTTAGTATATGCTCGTATTTCAGAAGTGCAAAGGCCCACTGGAAACTGCGGAGAAGTGCCTCACAGATTATACTGTTTGATCGCATTTGCTTATTAGCTTAAGTATTTAGTTTCTCATACATCTGTTGTATCCTTTCTAGCTCCCAGCTCTCCTCTGTTACAATAAAACACTATTTTTTTTCAGTCTCTTTTGGGGGGGTGTTAGTAGCAGCAGTCCACAATATTCCAGTACAGAACAAAGTGTGTTTAGTGGCATGATAGTGTTTTGAGAACTGTTTGCCTCTCCTCTCTTCATGCAGCTCAGCATTTTACCTTTCTAGCTGCTACAGAACGGGATTTTCACTACCTGGTTCCAGTGACTCCTGTGGCTTTACTGTTGAGTTGTTGCAGTTGATAAGACAATGGTAGGGTGTGTGGTGGCTGTTTCTTTCACCTCATACCCATCCATATGAAATTTTAACTGGCACCTTACTGTTTGTCCACTTTGCCTTCTGAGTCCCTCC